ACACAAGGCTGGGTAGCACAGGACCCCCCCTCCCCCCGCAACAAAAAATAGTTCAGAGGTACACAGCCAAAAAAATAACTGTTCCATTACAGCTGATATATTACAAGAGTTTTTTTTATAAAGGGGCTCAAGGACGCCCTCACAAAAATAGCAAACCAAAAATAAATACAACCATGTCCTACGCTACATCATCCCCCGTGGCATACACCTCATTGTACCAAGAATCGGAGGCGAGCTTGTCCACATCGTCATAATCAACATCGTCTCTGCCAGGCGTGCCGGGGTCGTAACCACATGCCTCACGAGCTACACGTGCTTTAACATGCACGTCCCGAAGTTCTGCCTCAGACACCTTCCCATCGGTATGAAGAGACTTATACACGTCAAGTTGAGCTTCGGCATGAACCCACATCTCATATAAATCTCGTGGCATGACAGGATCGGTCGAAGCATGAGATGTAGAGGGTTGCGACTGCCGTCGCACATCCTCCACCTTCAAAGCGATAACTTGTTCATTTAACACGGACAACTCCGCCTCCAGATCTCAGATACGTCCCTCAAATCTCGCTACCTTAAGCGCAGACGTCTCCACCTCATTGTCCCATTCTGATCTACAAACACGAAGGGCGTCTTCCAAAGCCGCTACCTTAGAGATGGCAGTCGCCCTATCCCTTTCAGCATGACCCAATCCATCAGCCTTAGAGCTCAGCTCGCCCCTAAGGTCGACAACCTCCGCCGCCTTCCTGTCAAGCTCAGCAGTTAAGGTGGCCATCTGCACTTGAAGGTCGGCGTTCTCGGCCATCACCCCCTTACTCATCTCGAGTTCATCTTCCTTGGCCTTAAGAGCCGCCTCAAGTTCGCTGCATCGGGCAATGGCCTTCATCAGGTCTGCGTCCCGCTCTCTCAGCTCCTCGACCTTTTGCCCCAACTGTTTCTCCTTTTGCTTGAGCCCGTCACGGAACAGGTGAAAATCGCTGTCTCGAGTAAAGAGATCGGCCAATGCACGATGTTTGGTACGGTAATCCTTATATTTGGAGGCCATTTTCCCAAAATCGACCGTCCTCCGCTTATCCCTCCGATCGCGCTCAATCTCCATGATGAGGGTCTAGTATGCAAAGCAAATCCAAAATAAGGAATGGGTTTAAGTACACAAAACGAATCCAAAAATAAAAAGAAAAGAGAAAAGTACTTAACCGCAGAGCCATGCCAGAAATACTCCGCAATAGCTCTACATCGCTCATCGCCTTAAGCACCGCGCTCTCAGAAGCAGCGCACAAAGGGGCAAAAACCGATGCTGCCTGCTCGCAATTCGCTAACAAGTCGTAATCCACAGGGATGACTATGTGTCGATCAGGACCTTCCGTCCTCACTTCCACGCGAGTATGCCGCTCCAAGTAAGCTCGTACATCTTCTGGATCAACATCTGAACCTGAACCGTCGTCCTCGACATGCTCAACTCTGCCTCCTCCGACGGCAGATGATGCGCCACCCTCTGCATATCGTATAGATCCCCCGCCTTGATATATTCCTTCGACCCTAGGGGACCTCCCTGCCAAAATGGCGTCCGCCATAAAAACGGCACCTGTGCCTGACCCAGGCAAAGACGCCGCCCCCGAAGCACCAGTTCCCAGTATCGGTGGCGACAGCCTTCCCAAGCTCTACCCTCCTCCTTTTCCTCGATGGTGATTCATCCCTGTTGGAGGGCTCATCCATGAGGTGATAGATGGGTCGAGAGGAGATCTCATCCCGTACAATGACGTCACGAGAAGAGTCTCTAGCTGGTACAGATTGAGCACGGTCTCCTTGGGCGGACTCAGCCAAGGCAAATTGCATCCCTGCTGATGCGATGGCCTGGCGAAATGCCGGGACTGGAGCCTTCTTCCTGGAAGCCCTACGACCTATCATCACGAAGATGTCGTATCAATAAACGACAGCAAACAGCCAAAGGTCAAAATAAAAGGAACATTTACCGGATGGAACTTTCGGCCCAAAGCGTTTGAGGAAGGCGGGCCAATCTCGAGTCCCCGCCATATAAGGTAGTACGCGAGCTACCCAGTCCTCGGTACCGACACTGGGGAGAGGTGCACGTCTCATAGCTACACGGGAAAGTTACAAATAAGCACAAATTATAAAGAACAAAAGTAAACAGCGAGTACCAACACCTACAGTTATGATTCCACCGCTCTGGGAATCCAGTGGGGTCCGACACCAGGTGCTCGGTTCTAATGAAGAAGTATTTGTGCCAAAATTTACGGCTTGCCCGGTCGTCCGTTCCGACCACCAACCCCCTGGTCCCACGATGCCGCAAGTGTATCATGGTGCCCCTATGAAAACTCGGGGAAAACAAATGTAAAAGGTGAAGAAGGCCAACTTCACACCCCGCCAACTCCGCATACTTCGTCAGTACTAGAAAATTTTTATACGTATACGGAGATAGCTGCGCCGGGCAGACCTCGTAGAACCGACAAAATTCCTCCGCCAGCGGAAGAAGAGGGAGGGTGTGGTCGATCACAAAGGGATATACATAGAAAGCACAATATCCCGGTCTATGGACCTCCCCGAGGTCCCTCCCAGCCGGAACCATCTCAACATGGGGAGGAATGTTGTATGTAGACCGAATGTCATTTATGTGAGCCCGCTCAGTTTCAGAAACCACCGGAACGAGGGCAGAGGCAGGTTCTTTGTGAAAATCATTCCGGGACATAGGGTTTCTTGGGAGTGTCTCCTCTACGGTAGGAAAGCTGTCCCCCTCCTCAACTGCCATATCCTCACCACCAGAAGGAGGTGCCATGGATAACGGAGTGGCGTCAGAAATTTCTTCGTGTGTCCGGTGCGTTCTGGGCATCTTGATAATAAAAGGTATGTTGGTGAAACGTAAAATGAAGAATGGTGATTGAATGGAAAATATGAGAAGAAAAATCCCGAAAATTGAGCTAAAGACCCAAGAAGAGATGACCAAAGGAGGCAATGTATACACAAGAAAGGAAATGGCTAAAAGTTCTTGAAAAAACAAAACCTTCACCTATTTATAGGGTTGGGTGGTGCGAGAATCGAAGCGGGAGGCTGCCAATGGCACCAAAACCAAAGCAACAAGCAATCAGTCGTTGTCTCGGGAAGGCGCGTAATGATGAAGCACGTAGGAGTGACATCACTTCCCGATAAGCTACACCAACCAGGGTACCGTGGAACGCGCCGCTCTTTCTTTCCTGGTCAAACCGGCGTAATTCAACAGCCTAATTTTCCCGTAGATATAGGCGATGTCCGCTTATCAAGGACGTGTAGGGCCACGACCTCAACAAGCAGAGGGACTAACTGTATGGGTCCAAATTTGGTAACCACGACAGTAACCAAGTATACATTGTTGTTCTATATTGACAAGATCCAAAGATTCCTCAATCATCTCATATCCCTTTTCTTTCCACACTGTTATCAAGGAAAGAGGCTTTCCGAAAGATCTCAATAATTGGGTAGCAACTTCCTTTGATTACGCCGATCGCATTCACTTAGATTGATTGCGCATTTATGTTGTTGCATTTATGAGCATCAAATCGACTCAAACATATTAACTAACGTCTTTCATATCGTATTCTATCTATCATTTGGTCTAGATTTTATTATCCTTAACTAAGATTCACTCCTCTTCTCATACTAATTGATTTAGTCAAAAGGTTTAATATTTTTTGGTCAAATATTAACTACTACAATATCTAAGATAGACGTATTGGGACTGTGCAAAGAGCACATGTAATTCTCAATATTCATAATATTTGAATTTTGACGGTTTCTCTTTTTATTTTTTTCACTAAATGCTTGCTAGAATATCAAAGATGGAGGCATTGGGAGTACATGCAATTCTCGATCCACCAAGGCGTGTGGTGGATGGACGAAATCCCTCCATGCAGTAGAAACTTCAGTACTTTGATAGGAAGCGATTTTCCTTTTAATGAACCTTACATGGTGTAAATCTGAATTAATCGGCCAATATATTCCAATAACAAATGATTAAACAAAAAAATGTAATTCCCAATATTTAGAAATATTGGACGTTTGAAATAAAGCACAAATAGAAATATATAATTTTTACAACCAGTCAAATACTAAAGAAGCAAAATATATAACGAAAGTGTTGGTGAAATTACAAGTAACTACAGTTGAAGAATAATATGAAGAAAAATAAATAAATATTCTTCAGGCTGAGGCGCGGATATCTCTCCCTCTTTAAGGAGATTCAAGCTCACTGTGGTAGTATCTTCATCCGTCCAGTAGTAATATTCTTGACTTGTCCCCTCCAGGATACAATAGCCCGACAATATCGTATGACTCGAACAAACTCTGGACAAGTTGTTGAGTACAAAGCTCCACCGAAATGAACACCTTCCTTCAACAAAAATAATATTCTCTTTTGTAGAGAAAAAGTTTGAGACTTAGATTTTCCTTCCTTCAAACTCTGGACAAGTTGTTGAGTCCAAAGCTCCACCGAAATGAACACCTTCCTTCAACAAAAATAATATTCTCTTTTGTAGAGAAAAAGTTAGAGACTTAGATTTTCTCTTTCTCCTAACTCTCTTTTCACAATACCAACCACACCTTTTACATGTACACCATAACACTTTTCTCATTTACAACACAAAGAAGAAATATCACAATTTATAGGTGTAGAATCTCTTCCTTGAAATAAATAATAAGATAGTGGGATAATAAAATAGTAGAACATGAGTTGGTGGTTACAAAATATAATCTTTAGTGGTAATTAGTGATTTCATAAGTTATACCAAAATAATGACTACTTTCTTGCCAGTTTATAACCACTATCTCACAAGAAATAATGCACTTTAGTATTGTAATTTTAATATTAAAATGCACTAACACAAACAGAAAGTCAATATAATTCTGTATGAAACACGGTATAATTATTCATTAACCAATGTCCATCGTACACTACAAACAATAAAGAGAATCACAAATGGAATTTTTCAAGATATCAGCTAGACACATCAGGAAAATATTTTATTCGCATAACTTACTTAATTAAGATTAAAACAAACAAAAAAGAGAATCACAAATGGGATTTGCAGTAAACTGAATGATAAGCATTATTTGACAAGAATTAAATACGACATAATATATGTTAATGATATCTTTTTTTTATTGGTTCTTGTGAGAAATCTTGAAGTGAAATCCATCCGGGAACCTTATAATTGGTGCTCGAATAATTTTGCCTCCTTTTACCATTGTCCATCTGCAAAGTTCATGTTCAACAAGATAAAACACTGTGAATTTATGTTGATCATTTCTTAGCATAATAAGTAATTCATATGATCGTTAAGGTGTTTAAAATTGTATGCACTGACGGTAAATATATATTCACAACTCAGGTCATTTTTATAAGGTAATTACTGGTAAATCTCTATGATAAATATTCATTAATAATCTGATAAAAATGGTATGAACATGTTATCATATATTAAACTACACTGCTAGTGTAAAATATTTTGGGATCTTACACAAATAGCAGGTCATGTTTACTGTGTACTTTTTTTAGCCATATACATAGATTATACATTATTTATATACAATTATACACATATAATAAATAAATTATGCGTATATTATAACTTCACCGGCTATCTTTAGTTTAAGCGGTTAGATGGGCTACTACTTGGGTCGGCTAGATTCAATGTTTATTTTTTCTAGACGGTATACATAGATTATATATAGTTATACATAAATTATATATACACACACATTCGCCAGCTATTTTTAGTTTAAGAGATTAAGTGGACGGCTATTTTGATTAGTTCTTCAGTATAATATTTTTACAGTGGTAGTGTATATAACTTAAATAGCATAAGTCAGTGTATATAACTTAAATTCATAAGAAAAAATATGATTAAAGTACCTATATTTAGTGACCAAGACATGTAGGAAGGTGGCTAGAAAGACCCTGCTGTATTCTGCACCAGCACATTGCTTCATTCCAGATCCAAATGGCATGAAATTCTTCGCTGCACAACTTGGCTGGATTTCCTTTTTTACAAAAATAGACAAATTTCATTAGGCAGTTAATTTAATTGACCAATTCATAATTTTGCTAGTAGCTAAATAACTACTACTTATATGTTTTTATACCTTCTAGGAGTGGCCATTTGAGCCCAAACCTATTTAACCCGCCCAATTCGCTCATAGTTGGGCTGGTCATTGACCGGCCCATTTGTTGAACTCAATCCATTTTGATCCAAGTCATTTCAACCCATCTAAAGTTGGGTGATTTTTAGCCCAAATTGATCCATGAATAACTTTGCTAAAATATCTTTAAAATAATTCTTTTTTTTGTTTGATATGTTATATATGACCATAAAAATAAAAATAATTCTTATTGATAATTAAACAATTCATAATAAAATAATACACATTAATTACAGCTTGGTAAGAGTTGGGCGGGTTGTGATATGACCCAAATTTTAGCCCGATTTGACCCAGCCCAAGTTACTTTTGGGCAGGTCAAATAACCTGTCCATTTATTGACTCGGCCCATTTTAGCCCGCCCAAATTCAGCCAAACCCACCCATTTAACACCTCTAATACCTTCCAACGCCATGGATTGAATGAAAGTGGATCTTCAAATTGGTCTGAATTCAAATGAAGAGCAGCAGTTGCAATCATAATTACCCAACCTGCTGGTATTGTATATCCTAAATAGCAAAAAAAACAAAGAAGAAAATCATTCCAATTTTCAATTTTTGCTTCAAGAAATGAGGTTTACACTTTTAATTTTTTTTTCTTCATACCATTAACTGGAATATCCTTAAGGGCTCGACGGAATAATCCAGGTGCAATATTTCCTAGCCTCAGGACTTCATTAATTACCTGTAGTTTATAATGATAGAGAAAAAAAAAAGATTAGCCTTATTATAATTACATTAATTTTTGTTTTATGTCAAATAAAGTAGTAGGAATCCTATCCTGTTGCAGATTTAAATTATATCGAGTGATAACTGTGTATAATCAATGTATATCTATGTATACCGGTGAGAAAAAATAAACATTAAATCTTGCTGGCTATTCGTGTAACAATCCCATAATGTAATGATAAATTTATTTTTTCAACATAGTTTATCTTAATCTAAAGTTACTTCTCTTACTTTTCAGGTTAAAAATTTCACCCATTATGATCATATACCCGTAATTTCTTGATAGTATAAATTTTTTACCGTCAGTGTATATAAGTTAAACACTATTTTATAAGTATAGAAGAGACCTGAAGTGTAAAGGTCATGGATTTATAGTCATTCCAAGTGAGAGGAGCATCCAAATTCTCTTTATTCTTCAAAATTGAGTCATGCTCAGCCTGGATTGAGTATAACATATGGTTAATTATGTTAAATATATTATAGATAAAGTCAAGAATTAAACAAGATTATATTTAAGATACTGACTATTAATTCCTCCAAGACATCAGTATGTTCAGCAAGCAACTTGAAACACAAAGCCAATGTAGTTGAAATGGAATCAGAGGTAACAAATAACAAACCAAACATCATCTGTACTATGTAATCCTCTGTTAAGAATTTCTGAGAATCCATGTCCCTGAGTAGATGATCAACCAAGTCTTCTTCTGCGCGTTTTTCTGCTGATGAATTGAGCCTCTTTGTTAGAAAATCTCTCATTGTTTCGCGCACATTTTTATGAATCTGCATTAGTTTTCTTGTGGGTCAATATTATATTAGCTAGAAGATATATATACGAGGAGAAACACAAAAGCCTCAGTTAGCAGGCGTGAGAGGTTAGCCATTGTGGTTACGAGGAGGGGTGGAGGTAGGCCTAAGAAGTCTTGCGGAGAGGTGATTAAACGGGACATGACGCAACTGGAGCTTACTGAGGACATGACTCTTGATAGGAGGATGTGGAGGTCGAGGATTAGGGTAGAAGGTTAGTAGGTTGGCGAGCGTTTCCCTTTGTCCCGTAGCATTAGTGCTAGTTTGATATCTTTATACTCTTAGATTGCTATTATTACCTACCATTTAGTTGCTACCTTGGCTTCGGTTTTCTTTTATCATGTTGTTGTTACTACTTGTTGTCATTATTTCTTTTCATCCTTTCTTTAACCGAGGGTCTACCAGAAACAGTCTCTTCGCCCTTCCAGGGTAAGGGTAAGGCTGCGTACATCTTACCCTCCCCAGATCCCACTTATGAAAATTTACTGGGCTTGTTATTGTTGTAGAAGATATATATATATATATATATATTTTAGATACCTACCTGCAAACATTTATGATGAGCAGTTCCGGGAAGATTAATTGGGAAAGACATTAGGCCTTCAACCAGGTCCCTGAACATGTAACTGATATTGAATGGTGCATTATCAAGATCACCACTAAATATTTGCTTTGCAGCAAAATCAACTGTCACCTGCCATTTATCAAAAAATAAAATAAAATGTAAATAACAATATTTATGTAAAAATTTCAAAAAGCCAATAAGTACTGTGTGTTTATCCTTTATTGTTATACAGATAACAAACAACTAGTATTCTATTAACAACGTACAACAATTTTAAAGTTTAAGTTTTATGCACTGACATTTTACACAATCAAGTTACTTAAAAGATAATTGCAGGTAATTCTATTTAGTGGGAGTTTGGACATAAGAATTGTGAAATTTCGAAAAAAAGTAAAAAAAAATCAAGTGAAAATGGTATTTGAATACTAGAGTTGTATTTGGAAATGAATACAACTTGGATCAGTTTTTGAAATGAAAATTTTGAAAGAGTTTTGGAGTTTTTAGAATTCCAAAAAATTTCAAAATTCAACTTCAAGTGAAATTTGAAATTTTCATGGCCAAACACGGATTCTGAAGAAAAAAAAATCGGAAAAAGTGATTTTTTATGGCCAAACAGGCCCTTAATAACATTGATTGGTATTAGAATAAGAAGGTAGTTAACATGGTATAACATGTTAAATTACACCAATAATGTTAAGAAGTAATTACACCGATAATGTCAAAAAATAATTACACCGACAGTGTATATAACTTAAACCTAAAAAAGATTAAGTTAAACATATATATATATATATATGCAAGTAGTGATTGGAATTTACTTACTTTAATGGCTGCAGTTTTTACTTCAAGAGACTCATGGTTTGACCAATTAGAAAGAGTTGACTTAATAAAGTCTTCCATTTGAGGAAGTAGTTTCTCCTTAAGGGCCTCAACACCAAAATGATTTAGAGTCAAATGTCTAGTATATTTTCTTGAAGAATGAGTATTTTGTTCAAATACTTCAGCAAAAGTATCCAAAGACCAAGTCTCCACCAATTTTCCATCTTGTCTAAGAATAAAACTGTTGAATTCAGGATCTGCACTTATAATAACAGGCCTGCCTGCTACATTTGTTTTAAATATCTGTCCATATCTGAAATTTTGTAGAAATAAATAATGTTGATGTTATGAACAAATTTCATTACAATATAAGTTCAACTATTATATGAAAAATCATGTTTGAAATTAATTAAATAACAGTTTAACTTCTATATACTAACAATGTCAAGGAATATAACCACGAAAAGTTAAAGTAGCATAACCTATTATAACAGGTTAAATTACGCTATCTATAATATACTAGTCTTTACCACCCGTGGCGGATCTAATGACGGGGTCGTTAGTTCCTATGTTGCTCAGACTCTTTAAAAATGTTGCTGGGTACATATCGGATTCTCCAAAAATAATGAATTTCAAGAGGATCTAACACGGGCGAGGCTATATTTATGGGGAGTTTGAGCAACGTAGGTTAGTTCGGCAGAATCCGATATTTTTTAAAATCAAACTCTATATATATGCGTGAACATAAATATAAATGAAATTGAAATAATACATTTCATAACACAATCTTTAAATTCAGAACAAACAACATCTAAACAATTTATTTAATAAGAATTAACTAAAATAGCCGCACACCCCACCACTTAAACTAAAAATAGCTGATGGAGGTATAATATATGCATAATTTATGTATTATACGTGTATAATCAAGATATAATCTATGTATATAACTAGAAGAAGTAAATAATGAATATAGCCGACTATTTATGTATACCATTTACCTTTTAATTCTATTTTTCAAGAATGGAGGAAGGTCCAAGGAGTGACTAGGAAGGATTAACTGAAGAGTTTCTCCAATAAGAGGGAAACCCATAGAACCTGGAGGAAGAATACCATTGCATTTTGGATTTCTCCATCTATAAATCCATCGAGTAACATAAATAAATAGCAATATTACCACAAAATACCCAACTCCCAATACATTTATCTTTCTTATTTCTTCTAGTAACGAAGTGACTAGAGTCGTCATCGTTGTAAAATTCTACTGCAGTGGACTTGAATCTACTTAAAGAGTGAGAAACAAAAGAGATAAAAATAAAATTCACTATCTAAACAATCTTGTATACTGCAATATATAGGCCATGGGGGTGCTCTAAAGGTACTTTTTAAATTTAACAGCATCTAAAGAGAAGTTTTTTTTGGCGATTACTTCATAGATTTAATAAAATAAATTGTTGTTATTTTGACTAGAAGGGAAAAAACAATTTGGAGCATTTAAAACAGCAGAAAACGACATTGGCCCGGATCAAACTTGTTATTTATTTATTTATTTATTATAGTTGTACCCTTCTAATAATCTTGTTCCTTAGTTCATACTCTGGAAAATTAGTTTGACATTGTTCATGTTTTGAAAGGCTCTATATCACTAATGGAGGCGTATTAAGAATATAAAAGTTGATGATTTTTAATTTTAAGTTCTTATTATTGAATTCGTTATACATCTAAATTATGGATTTATATTTTAATATTCGTCTGAATTTTAGTAAATCTTTTTACGTATATGTCACGACCCGGATTCCCCACCCTCGGGAGTCGTGATGGCGCCTACTAATGGGAGCTAGGCAAGCCAAATTTAATTACTTTTTCATAAATAACATAATTCCTTTTAACAATTATCGGCAATAATACAAAAGCAACGAAATTAAATAATAAGCGGAAGTCTCAATGTTATAGAAAACTGAATAGAAATGCGGAAAATTTCAACAAAGGCCTCTACCCAAGACTGGTGTCACAATACTCACGAACTACTAAGAATACTAAATACAAACGTCTGAAAAAGAGAACATAAACTGTTTATCTCGAATACAATGAGATAACAGACAAAATAAGGGATAGAGGAGACGCCGGGTCTGCGGACGCCTGCAAGGCTACCTCGGGTCTCGCTGGACTGAAAGCCTACTCCCACACTACTGTTGCTGCTGTCCGAAACCTGGATCTGTGCAAAATAGCATAGAGTGCAGTATCAGCACAACCGACCCCATGTGCTGGTAAGTGTCTAGCCTAACCCCGGCGAAGTAGTGACGAGGCTAGACTGGACTACTACATAAACCTGTACAGTTTTATATATATATATATATAGGAATTGAAATACAAGAAGAGTAAACAATATGGAAGGCGAAGCATGCTGTGGGGAGATAACAGTTTCAAGTAAAAGTTGCCGAGTAACGAAGGAAAAGCACAATTCATACAATAATTGGAACAGAGATCAACAAGTGCACGGCATCACCCTTCGTGCTTTTACTCTCATCCTCACCAAGCAATAGTATAACAAAATGTGCACGGCATCACCCTTCGTGCTTCTACTCTCATTCCTCACATATAATCAATAGAATCAGCACGGAATGGCACATCGTGCGGCACGATATCACCCTTCGTGCTTTACTCTCTTTTCCTCACAATAGCAAACAGTGCACGACATCACCCTTCGTGCTTTACACTCTTTCCTCACAAGAAACAAACAATGCACAACATCACCCTTCGTGCTTTAACGTTCTTCCTCACCCAATCAACAATCACAAACAAGGGCAAGGGAATAATAAAACAATAATGGAAATCCCGACAAGGTAATACAAACAAACAATTAAGAACCCGTCAAGGGCACAACATCAATAATCTCAACGTCCCGGCAAGGGAAAATATTCAATAATCAACAACGTCCCGGCAAGGGAATAGATCATTAACTCTTTCTCCTTCTTTCACTTTCACCTCATAGTTCACATTATCGCTCGAGCCAATGCTCCAAAGTTTTACTTATCTCATATACCTTCACAATTTGTATTTCAACTTGAGCCAACGCTCCACGAAGTTTAAAGATCACAATTTCTTTCACAAACTCCTTACAACATATAGAAGTCATCAATTAAGCATGGATGGTATAACAAAATCCAAACTATTCACAAAATAAGGACTCACGGTCATGCTAGACACCAATGTATAGATACTCGTCACCATGCCTATACATCGTACTCGACAATTAGCAAGTAACAAATAAGACTCAACTCCTATTCCCTCAAGCTAAGGTTAGACCAAACACTTACCTCGATGCCTTGAACACAACTCAAGTCTCAATTATAGCTTTACCCCTTGATTTCTCCACCAATCCGCTCGAATCTAGTCACAATTTACTTAATTACATTAATAAGTGCTAAATGAATCATCCCCAATGCATGAAAATAAGTTTTCCCAAGTTTTACCCAAAAAGGTCCAAAATGCCCCCGGGCCCACATGGTCAAAACCCGAGGTTCGAACCAAAACCGATTACCCATTCCCCCACAAACCCAAATATGTAATTTGTTTTGAAATCGGACCTCAAATTGAGGTCCAAATCCCCAATTTTTGAAAAACCTAGGTTCTACCCAACATACCCAAATTTCCCCATTAAAATCTTTGATTTAAAGTTGAAATTATGTTAAAAGATGTTAAGGAGTGAAGAAAATGAGTTAGAAGTCACTTACCAATCGTTTTGAAGAAGAAGAATCGTTGGGAAAATCGCCTCTTATGTTTTTGGGTTTTTGAAAAGTGAAAAATGACTGAAATTCCCGTTTATTTATACCCTTCGGAAGTCCCCTGCGCGGACCGCGCAAAAAGCGATCGCGGCCGCGCTGAACTACTTGAAGACCTGCTGATCTCTGAAGTTCCCTGCGTGGACCGCGCAAAGACGACCGCGGCCACGCAGCACCCACCGCGGACCGCGCAAAGGCGATCGCGGCCGCACAGCACCAATCGCGGACCGCGCAAAGGCAACGCCGGCCCCTCCACGGCCGCACGCAATTTCTCGCGGACCGCGCTAGAAAGTTCAGAGTCTGCAATATTTTCCTGAACCTGCAACATCTGGTATTTTAAGCCTAAGGCATCCCGGAACCTACTCGAAACTCACCCGAGCCCTCGGGGCTCCAAACCAAACATACACACAACCTCAAAAACATCCTACGGACTTATCCGTGCAATCAAATCGCCAAAATAACATCATATACCTCAAATCAAGCCTCAAAGCTCATGATTTCTTCCAAATTTTTCATAAAACATCAAATTTCCATTTTAAGTCCGAAACACGTCAAACGACGTCCGTTTTCAACCAAACTTTACAGAAAGTGCTTAAATCATATATAAGACTTGTACCGGGCGCCGGAACCAAAATACGGGCCCGATACCATAGTCTTCTAATCAAATTTCATTTTCAATTTCCTTAATCATTTCCAGAAAACAATTTCACACAAGAATTCATTTCTCGGGCTTGGGACCTCGGAATTCAATTCCGGGCATACGCCCAAGTCTCATATTTTCCTACGGACCCTCCGGGACCGTCAAATCACGGGTCCATTTACCCAAAATATTGACCGAAGTCAAATTTATTCATTTTAATATCAAAATTTAGCATTTTTCTCATAGAATTCATATTTAAGCTTTCCGGCTACGCGTCCGAGCTGCGCACGCAAATCGAAGCAATCCTAAATGAGGTTTTCAAGGCCTCGGAAGTACAAAATGGATAAGAAAACAGGTGATGACCCTTTGGGTCGTCACAATATATTTATATTTTGTGTCGAAAATAATCGACTATTTGGAAAAGGCTCCATCCGCTTCTGCTTTCACTATTCAAGCATTGTTCCAATGTTAAGCATAAGATGATTAAACATAGAAGAAAAAGAGTAAATAGTTTAAAGGTATAAGGGTGTGGATGGAAAAAAACATAGAAAAAAAGTGAATAGGAAGGGGAAACTTTGGAGCAACAGTAAAATTGTCTCCGTGTGATCTATAGGTCCCGGGTTTGAGCTGTGGAATCAGCCACTGATGCTTGTATTAGGGCAGAGTACCTACATCACATACCTTGGGGTACGACCCTTCCCCGAGCCCTGCGTAAAAGCGGAACGTTTTGTGCACGAGTTGCCCATCAGGGTGTGGATAAAAAACAATGAAATTTGGTATTGTTACGACTTTGGAGCTAGCCTTTCTGGTATAACTTATACTAATAATCATTGATTCATTGACTCAAATTATTACATGTCTACACTTGAATCATAATAATAGAATTATCAAATTCACAGCCTACAGCCATTTCTTTTTGGTAATTAAAGATCCCTTTTTTATTTATCAAGTGAAAGAATTACAGCTCAAGAGAAAACAAAACTGCTTAAAGGTTGGACATGCATCCCCAACCTTAGTAACAAAAAGTTATCTACATCTACGTTAGCCCATATTCTCCAAAATGTTGTCACTATCCGTGTTAGATCTTCCAGAAATACTAAGCTCAACTGCCAGACTCAGATCTCAAAACTCATCATATTCCACCAGAACTAGCCAACTGTTGGAGGTTGTTTGGTACGATGGAGGGATATCCCATGTGATTAGTTATCCCACCTTCTATATACGATAATTAATCCCACCATTTTAGGGGTTGTTTGGTTGGAAAAAGGTTATCCTAGGATAAATTATCCCGGGATTAGTTATTCCACCTTTCCATGGGGATAAAAAACACTACGAAAAAGGGTCAAAATTATCCCTATCGTTTGCTAAATGGTTTACAAATACCCTCCGTCCATCTATCCGTCCAAAAAAATACACGACGTTATTTTTATATCTAAAAGTACCCCTTCTTTTAACGGCGCAGCACGTGGGCCCCACTTCTAATGTGTTGTCATTTTTTTATTGGGCCACGTGGCTCTTCTCAGAATCCAAATATTCGCCCCATTAACCAAACCCGCCCAATTATTTGCCTGACCCATTACTTTCTCTTTTTCTTAATCTCTCCCCACCTTCTCATCATTCTCACTCCAACACCCCCCACCCCCACCCCCAACAAAAAAAAACCAGACGCAACAAATTCAAAGGTCCATACTTTTCCAATAAATCAAACAATCTAAAACCAACCCATCATCTTCCTCAAAAACCCCACCTCAAACTCCTCCTCTTCCGATCACAAATCCAAAAACCCAAAATCAAAGCAAAAATGATGCACATAACCTTTTACTGGTG